CCCCACTTTCCACGGTAAGATTGGATACTTGCTCCAAAAAGACGGGAACCGTGATTTCCGGGGAAAAGGGACTCGGGTCTCGGAGCCTCCAGTCTCGACGGGAGGTGCGGGAGCCAATGCGTAATGAAATGATTACAGTAGCACTCTCCAGACCGTAACTTCCAGCTCTTCCACTCTTTCCCAGTTTCCTTGTTGCGTGCCCGATGACTTGTCATGGAGACACAGCTCCCGTCCCCCTCCTTGAACTTGAAACCACAGAAACTCCACGACTTCCGGTTGCTTTTGCTGTGACCGTGGTCACCGCTCGAACCGTCAATTCCGTCGTGACCTCTGGAGAAACAACAAGAGGGAGCATTCGAGTAGTAAATGACGGATACCTCTTCGTGTATTCCCTTGAGTACGCTACTATGGTATGTAGCAGACTGAGCAGTAAATATGGTAGGCGAGTTTGCGGCTATACCGAGAGAATGTCACATTAATGTCTTCAAGTTTCGTTGGGTCCCGTCGTCGATGTATTTGTTCCCAGTGCGAGAAGCTCGGTAGCTCCACCCAGTTTCGCTGGCTCCACTTTGTTAAAGCTATGGCCAAGAGAAGAAGCATCCAGGGCGCACTGCACTGCGCGTGTAGCGGTGCAACGGCGGGAGCCGAGGGGGAGGGAGCCTCACTTGTGCTTCAGCAAGTGCCGTCATCGTCCCCTCCGCAGAGCCGTGCAGATCCCCTGATGCTCACTGTACGAGCTACTTCGTTCCGTCCGAGTCGTCGTTCTGTCAATTCCACAGGGCAGAATGGGAGACAGCGGGCATGCACAGCACAGCTGGTGGACGGCAGCACTCGCTGTTGCAGTTTGCACCGACAGGTCGACCGACCGCCCGACTCCAGTGGACGGAGCAACTCGACGCACCTGCACGGCAGAGTGAGGCCCTTTTTTTCCGTCGCTGCATTCCCGCCGCCCCTTCCCCCGACACCAACGAAACATCAAAAACACCAACGTCTGTCGTCCCCCTCCCCTCCAAATCTCGATCCTCTCGTCTTCTCTCCCCATTCCCCCCCCTCAAGAGTCGACGACGACGACCGAGACCTAGACTTACTCCGCCGCTCCTTTTGCCTTTTGCGCATCCCCCCCCAATCTCCCCTCTTCCAGATTGTACACGAGACAAAACCCCGCTGCTTGGATTGCGCTTTCGGTTTCTGCGTCCTAATACCCTCACCTCACAACAGCCACCCATCATGTTGCGCGGTTCCATCCGGGCCCTGCAGACCGCAGGCGCCTCAAAACGATGCTATTCCCAGGTCGCCCAGACCACCAGGGCCACCCTCAAGCCCGCCGTTGGCCGCCGTCCCCTGGCCGTCTCCCAGCAGAGGCGCCATGAGAGCGCCCTCCACAGCCCTCCCGACCCCAACGACAACTTCCTCTCGGGCAGCGCCGCCAACTATATCGACGAGATGTACCTCCAGTGGAAGCAGGACCCCAAGAGCGTCCACGTCTCGTGGCAGGTCTACTTCAAGAACATGGAGAGCGGCAACATGCCCATCTCCCAGGCCTTCCAGCCTCCTCCCAGCCTGGTTCCCGGTGCCGCCAACGTGGTGCCCGGTCTCGCTGCCGGCGCCGGCGTCGGCATTGGCGAGGGTGCCAACGTCACCAACCACTTGAAGGTCCAGCTCCTCGTCCGCGCCTACCAGGCCCGTGGTCACCACAAGGCCAACATTGACCCTCTGGGCATCCGCAACACCCCTGCCTCCAAGGGCTTCGGCAACATCAGGCCCAAGGAGCTCACCCCCGAATACTACGGCTTCACCGAGAAGGACCTCGACACCGAGTACAGCCTCGGCCCCGGCATCCTCCCCCGCTTCGCCCGCGATGGCCGCGAGAAGATGACGCTCCGCGAGATCATCGATGCCTGCGAGAAGATCTACTGCGGCTCCTATGGTGTCGAGTTCATCCACATCCCCGACAGGGAGAAGTGTGACTGGCTCCGTGAGCGTCTCGAGATCCCCCAGCCTTTCAAGTACTCGATCGATGAGAAGCGCCGCATCCTCGACCGCCTCATCTGGTCCTCCAGCTTCGAGTCCTTCCTCGCCACCAAGTACCCCAACGACAAGCGTTTCGGTCTTGAGGGTTGCGAGACCCTTGTTCCTGGTATGAAGGCCCTCATCGACCGCTCCGTTGACTACGGCGTCAAGGACATCGTCATTGGTATGCCCCATCGTGGCCGTCTCAACGTCCTCTCCAACGTCGTCCGCAAGCCCAACGAGGCCATCTTTTCCGAATTCGCCGGCATGGCCGGTGCCGATGAGGAGGGTTCCGGTGATGTCAAGTACCACTTGGGTATGAACTTCGAGCGCCCTACCCCCTCGGGCAAGCGCGTCCAGCTCTCCCTCGTTGCCAACCCCTCCCATCTCGAGGCTGAGGACCCCGTCGTCCTCGGCAAGGTCCGCGCCATCCAGCACTACAACAACGACGAGAGTGACCACAAGAGCGCCATGGGTGTCCTCCTCCACGGTGACGCCGCCATCGCTGGTCAGGGTATCGTCTACGAGTGCTTGGGCTTCCACAACCTCCCCGCCTTCTCTACCGGTGGTACCATCCACTTGGTCGTCAACAACCAGATCGGTTTCACCACCGACCCCCGTTTTGCCCGCTCCACTGCCTACTGCACGGATATCGCAAAGGCCATCGACGCCCCTGTCTTCCACGTCAACGCTGACGATGTCGAGGCTGTCAACTTTGTCTGCCAGCTTGCTTCTGACTGGCGTGCCGAGTTCAAGCAGGACGTTATCATTGACCTTGTCTGCTACCGCAAGCACGGTCACAACGAGACCGACCAGCCTGCCTTTACCCAGCCCCTCATGTACAAGCGCATCAGCGAAAAGAGCCCTCAGATCGACATCTACGTTGACCAGCTCCTCAAGGAGGGCACCTTCACCAAGGAGGACATCGAGGAGCACAAGCAGTGGGTCTGGGGCATGCTCGAGGAGAGCTTCTCCAAGTCCAAGGACTACCAGCCCACTTCCAAGGAGTGGACCACCAGCGCCTGGAACAACTTCAAGAGCCCCAAGGAGCTTGCTAGCGAGGTTCTCCCCCACATGCCTACTGCGGTTGATAAGCCGACCCTTGAGCACATTGGTACCGTCATTGGCAGCACTCCCGAGGGCTTCCATGCCCACCGCAACTTGAAGCGTATCCTGACCAACCGCACCAAGTCCGTTGTGGAGGGCAAGGGCATCGACTGGGCTACCGCTGAGGCTCTTGCCTTTGGTACCCTCGTCAAGGAGGGCCACCACGTCCGTATCACCGGTCAGGATGTCGAGCGTGGTACCTTCTCTCAGCGCCACGCCGTCTTCCACGACCAGGAGACTGAGGACACCTACATTCCTCTCCAGCATATCAGCGAGGACCAGGCCCCCTTCGTCATCTCCAACTCTTCCCTCTCCGAGTATGGTATCCTCGGTTTCGAGTACGGTTACTCTCTCCAGGACCCCAACGGCTTCAACATGTGGGAGGCCCAGTTCGGTGATTTCGCCAACACTGCTCAGGTCATCATTGATCAGTTCCTTGCCTCTGGTGAGAGCAAGTGGATGCAGCGTACCGGCCTCGTCATGTCTCTCCCCCACGGTTATGACGGCCAGGGTCCCGAACACTCTTCCGCTCGTATGGAGCGTTTCCTCTCGCTTTGCAACGAGGATCCTCGCATCTACCCCTCCCCCGAGAAGCTTGAGCGTCAGCACCAGGACTGCAACATGCAGATTGCCTACATGACCTCCCCTGCCAACCTCTTCCACATTCTCCGCCGCCAGCTGAAGAGACAGTTCCGCAAGCGTAAGTTTCCGTGTTTGAACCAGCATGTGTCTCGTCAAAATGCTAACATTCTGTCACTCAGCTCTCGTCATTTTCTTCTCCAAGGCGCTCTTGCGTCACCCCGTTGCTCGTTCCGACATCGAGGAGTTCACTGACGACGCCCACTTCCGCTGGATCCTTCCCGACTCTGCTCACCAGACTGGTGAGATCAAGGCCCCTGAGGAGATTGAGCGTGTCATTCTCTGCACTGGTCAGGTCTATGCCGCTCTCCTCAAGCACCGCCAGGACAACAAGATCGACAACGTCGCCTTCACTCGTATCGAGCAGCTCCACCCCTTCCCCTGGGAGCAGCTCCGTGAAAACCTCGACCAGTACCCCAACGCCAAGACCATCGTCTGGGCCCAGGAGGAGCCCCTCAACGCTGGTGCCTGGTCTTACACCCAGCCTCGCCTTGAGACTCTTCTCAACCACACCAAGCACCATGACCGCAAGCACGTCATGTACGCTGGTCGTGCTCCCAGCGCTTCTGTCGCTACTGGCAAGAAGTCTTCTCACGTCAAGGAGGAGAAGGAGCTTGTCGAGATGGCTTTCTCTGTTACCCAGAGCAAGCTCAAGGGCGAGTAAAGGGTATGCCAGAAGAGATAGCGATGATGAAGAAAGCAAAGCAAAAAGGCAGCAGCAAAAGTCGAACAACCACCACCACGGCGGAGACCTAGGTCTGTGTATTATGGATGCGCGTGCATAAGGACGGGATTTCGGGGCGGATAGAGAGTGTTCATTGGTTTTGGGATGGGAAGGTGTTATTCCTGTGTTCTTCCTCTTCCCTTCACTGACGAATACTACATGGTGTTTTTCTCTTGTTCATAATTGTATCTGTATTCGGTTCCTGTTCACTGCATACCTGGGCTGTTGGGTTTTTGGAAATAATGAATGGATGTGATACCAAATATTTACTCTCCTTGCACAACAATACATTCATTCGATGATTGTTCAAGCTTGATCTCATTCCCCAGCTTCGATCTCAAGTGACATGCTTTGTTTACTTTGGTGGACTTGTTTGTCTAATCGGAAAGGGGATCAACAAAGGGGGTAGTACCGTCCGGTAACCCCGGAGATCATCCTCACCTTCCTATCCGCAGATCGGACTGACGAGATCTTGATAGCCTTCACATATGTTTCAGGCCAACTGATACATCCATCTACACTGCACTTTCATCTTATCTCAACAACTTGATGCGGCTGATAGGCCGCCATATTAAGTGGACAGTTGCACTGCACTGATACCCGAGAACGGGGTAGCGTCTGTAGGTAAGTTCCCTTGGCACTTAAACGGAAGCTCCTCCCCACAAGTAGTTTAGAGCTTTGACGATCGTGTAACTTACAAAACATACGAACATACCGTATCACAAAGGTATCACGATACTTTTCATCACTTCGCCGGGCAGTTCCCTAGAATATGTAATCCCCAACACACCTGACATTTTTGGCACAAAAGACAAAAAGTGGCAGAATGGATGGCAATGGATGAGGGGGGTTCAAACCCCCATCTTGTGGAGAAAAACTTTCACCGTCAACGAGCGAGGGATTACCCGACTGGTTCCGAAACACCCGGCCGGGACAAGCGTCGAGCGTAAGAACGACGGGAACGAACGGACTTTGTGGGCGGAGAACCGAGCGGAGTAAACAATACAATCCCCGACATCACCGAAAAAGACGAAACGAAAAGAGCCGCCGCTTGGTGATTGATGATCCGGGTGTCCGGCCAATTGCCATTGCCATATGCCAACGCCCAAAAGACCGAAAACGAAACGACGCCAACGCAGCTGGGTACACCATGTACATGTACTGTAATGGGTAGATAGTGTCGACGATAAAGCCCCCCAAACGGTAACATTGATAGTAATGGGACGGGAAACTTACACCAAGTTCCTGAAAGAAGATACGTATGTACATAGTGTAGTAGGCATGCGAAAAGGAAAGATGGCGATTGGTTGACAGGTATTCATGGTCTACGAAGATAAGATCGAAATGAGAGAGAGACGGCTAGACCAGACGGTCACGGAACAGCCTCGCTCCAAGTAGTGTAGGCTCAGGTAGGGAAGCACGAAGACAAACGAACTGAAAAGATGTGCACCGTATTCGAATACGGTATGCTTCTGGATAGGTAGTGAGAAGTATGTAACAAGCCAACTCGCAATCGAACTTAAGGGATGCTTGGAAGCATTGGAGGAACTGGGAATGGCGTCACTTCCTCCCTGTCCGTGTCCGCCGTGGATCCCGCCTTCAACATTTGTGAGATCCGACGTGCTCAAGTTATTATCACAATATGTTTACCTGCACTGGCAGGATGTATAGCGTTGTTGCTGCTGCCGGGCATCAAGCATATTCATAGGGATGTTTAGCTGCTTAACTAAACCATCTCTTTTTTATGGAGGTCGGTCGTATCATGACACCGGGAACCTTTCACATGGCTACATGAAGATGGCGTTTTGGCTATCTTTATAGCTAGTCAGTTCCCTTTACCCAGGAATAGGCGTAAACTACCTTCACAGTGCACTTCGATATGTAGTAGCCAGGAGCTCAGTGTTTCGGTAGTCCGGAATAGGATGGAGCCTGTCAGCTACATGCTTGGGCAGATGACGAATGTCATCGGAAATAGCAACACGGAAACTTGAGATTATGACAAGTTCGAGTCGTGTTTCCCTGTAGATCTCAGTGCAAAGCTCTCCTGTATCTTGTAGTTGGATACTGTACTGTGTTTTCCTTGTGTGGCTGAAGTAAGTCGATGTTCGTGATCCCAGCCGCATGGATACAGAAAAACGTAGGTAGGAGTGAAAGTAATAAAAGGGCAAGTGAATATCGTGTAATGGGTAGAGTATGTCCAGCACGGTGGACTCATCGTAACGTATTTTGTCACTTTCCCGTTGACGACTTGACATGGAAATGGCAGTGTGGCAAGTCCTATATCGATTTTATATAGGGGTATCATAGTTCCAACCGGCATGTATCGCTCTACTTTATGCTAATCAGCATTCCTGATACATGTCCATTTCTTTTGTCCGTAAACTGAACTTCCAGTATTAACGTGACCCGCAGAATAACCCTCAGCAAACCCCCTTCTTCTCTCATTGTATCCTAACCTGCCAAGGCCTGACAACACCATCATCACCCGTCGTGACCAACATCTCCTCCTCGCCCTTGCGTTCCGATCCTGCATCGTACCGCTTACACCAAGTGATGTGGTTGATCTCGTATGGTCCATGAGCGCCCTTGACGGTGGTGAGAACCTTCCAACCACCAGCAGACGTTGTTGTTGGCGCCTCGCCGTTCGTCTCGTTCTCCTCATTCTTCTCTGTGGTGTTGGCAGTCTCCTGATACAGCGCCAAAACACCATCACTTCCCACGCTAGCCAACAGCCCCGTCTCCGTGCTCCACGCAACCGAGTAGATATCTCCCTTGTGCACCTTGGGCAATACAGCCGTGCACTCCCACTCCTCTTTGAGGGATCGGCGCATGGTGTTCGGCACCCCAAATCCCCAGGTGTTGTTGCCACCACCAGCCGCACCTTCCCCATGTTCCTCCTCTTCCGGCTCCTTCAGACTCCAAACCCTAATCACCTCGTCCGCGCCCCACGACAACAACCTCGGGAACTTGTCGTTCTCCCTCGGCCTCCCCTCCCACGCCACTCCCCACACGGTACCCTCGTGCCCCTCCAGAACTGCAACGCACACCCACTCGCCATCTCCATCCTCCCTCCACAACCGCACCGTATTGTCGTAGCTGGCGCTCGCCAAAACGTCATCCCCGTACCTTCTCGGCGGTGCGTACTTGCCCTTGCGGCCGGGAACGTCAGGACACCAGGCCACAGCTTTGACGTCGCCGTCGTGCTCTTGTAGTACGGCTACCGTCTCCCATTCATCTTCGTCTTCCTCTTCTTCCTCCTCTTCAGAAGACGGGTTCGGGTTCCCGACGTCTTCCCAAATCCACACGCTTTTGTCTCGAGAGCATGTAGCGAGGTACTGACCCGAGGGGGAGTAGTTGACGCTTTTGACTTCGTTTTCGTGACCTTCCAGTACGAGGGTCAGTTCCCATTCATCCTCCGCCTCTTCTTCCTCTTCTGCCTCTTTGTTATCCTCTCCAGATTGCAACCTGATTTCCCTTTCCAACCTCTCCTCTCTCCGCCCCTGATCCCAGGTCCACACGCCCGCCGTCGTATCAAAGCTGCCCGTGACCAATCGCAGCCTCTTGGCTTCCTTTCCAGAAACCTTGCCGCGGGGAGGTTGCCAGGCTGCCGAGCGAACGGAGCGGGTGTGGCCGCCTGTCAGGACGGAGTGCTTGGAAAGCGTGGACAGCGAGAAGACGGTGACGGAGTGGGCGTGGCAGGTGGCGATTAGGGGGAGGGAGGGGTGCGGGATGGAGGCCCAGGCGCGTTGGTAGAGGTCGGGAGAGAAGGCTGGGAGAGGGGTGATTTCGGCGGTTGTTGCGCTGGGCGCAGCGAGTATGGCGGTGGTTGTTTCGGCCGCCATTTGTGAGGACTTGGTAGGCTCGAACGGCTAGGTAAGGTCGTAGGTAGAAGAAGAGCGGCGCTCGAAAACGACGAGAGAGTTTCGAATTGGCTTTGACCTCCGATCGAGGTCCGAAAAAGGAGTGGTCGAGTGATGGAGTTGTGCGAAAATGACTCGGTCGCTCTGGAGACGGGAGCGTTGGTCAGAATAGCTGGCTCGTCAATTGAGTGTGAATATGGTAGCAGTACCCTTTGCGATGGTGACTGTTCGTGCCGCCTCGGATGACAGAGCAGAGCAGGGAGACGAGGGTCACGATAGCGGAGCTCTGATTGACTGCTTCGAGGTTGAAAGTCTCCACTCGGCCATTCGAATCTCAACTTTTCTTCCCCTCCTTCGGCCGATAAGCGCTTATCAGTAGGTACTCCGATAACACAATCCCACCCTACCTCTTCCTATGATGCAATCAAGGGCCGGAGAGGACGACGAAGTAGCTTGAGGCTATCACGACGACAAGAACAATATGCGAAATTGTACATTTATTATGCCTCAATCACCATTCTCCTGCTATGCCATTGCTATACTATATCCATTGAGCGCGCATGTACTGTGTCCCAATCATTCTGTACTCCTGGCATCATGCCGACCAGTGCTTCCCTCACCCCGTTCGCAAGACGGTGCCGTAGACCGTGAAACCCCTCCAAACCAACGCCCTAAAGCAAAGACAAAATCGACAGTAACACAGGCGATAAGCCCAATACTGGCCCCCTAGAAGACATGCAACAAGATGCCGAGATCAATCACGAAAATCATGCACCACTCTGTCCCGCCTCCCTCATCCTTTCAAACCCTCCTTCTACCGGTCCCTGTCCAAGCCCCTTCTGATCCTCCTCAGCCATCATTCTCTCTAGCTCCAGCCTACCGTCCTTACCCCAGTAACCGGCCTTCTCCGTCCCCTTGACACAACCCTCTGTGATGAGAACATAGGGCATGGGCGCATCGTACATGGGCTCTGCCAGCACGCGCTCCATTTCCATCTTTAACCCTCTGGCACCTGTTTCGTTCTTGGCCGCCCTTTCGGCAATGGCATAGAGCGCCTTGCGAGTGAAGTACAGCTTGCTGGGGTAGGTCTCGAAGAGAGCTGTGTACTGCGCTACCAGGCTGTTGCGCGGTTCCGTGAGGATGCGGTAGAGCTCGTCAAGAGAGAGAGGACTTAGGGCGCAGATGTTATGAAGACGGCCGATGAGTTCGGGGATAAAGCCAAAGGCCTGGAGATCGGCCGGTGAAGCTAGATCGAGCGGAGTAAAGCCACCACCGCCGTGAGATGCCAGGCTTCCACCTGACAGGTCTACTGGCATCGTCGGAGGCTGGTGCGGTAGATGGCTGTACAGCTCGGGAGGAAGAATATCTTGACTGCTGGACATGGAAGAACCACGGTGATTTCTGACTTCAGCGCCGAAGCCTATCGATGGCTTTGCGACCCGCCTGAGGACGGTCTTGTCAAGCCCGACAAAGGCACCGCAAAAGACAAACAGAATGTTGCTGGTGTCTACAATGTACTGTTCAACTTTGCCAGGAGTAGCAGAGGGCGTGGTACTCGTTGGTCCGTAGCCGGGTGTCGAAATATTGAGGTTGGGAGGCGGCGGCGGCCGTGACGACCGATGATCCTTAACGCTGACGGTGACCTTGGTACCCTCGACGAGCTTCAAGAGAGCCTGCTGGACACCCTCACCGCCAACATCTCTCCCATTGACAGTTTCCCGTCTTGCGATCTTGTCAAACTCGTCCAGCACGACTATACCATGTTCGGCGGCCTTGACGTCGTAGTTGGCTTCGATGAGGAGGCGCTCGATACACGCTTCCACATCTTGTCCGATATACCCAGCCTGGGTGAAGGAGTTACAGTCGCTTATCGTAAAGGGCACGTTGAGCTTCTTGCTCAGGGTTCTAGCATATGGCAGATAAGCATGCGACACGTGGGCATAGGCACAAGGAAAGGGAGAGTCCCGCTCACTCTAGGATATACGTCTTGCCCACACCCGTTGGTCCTATCAGCAACAGGTTACTCTTGTCAATTTTTACGCGCTGAGGAGCATTGGTGTCCTCGGGGATGTAAAAGTCATCAACAGAGGGCGTCTCAAAGTGGTCCTCAGCCAGGGGATGGTCACGATCGCGGTCACGGTGTGTCCCCAGAACGGACTCGTGATGACCCGGAAACTCGTCTTCAAGTATGCGCTTATCAGCCCATTGCCGTCGCGGCTTCGGGGGAGAGTTAAGCCAGGGTTCAACAGAAGACCGTCGCCCACCTTCGACAGGATGTATGTCCCTGCTGCTACCACTGTAGCCTTCGCGGTCTTGCAGATCTCTATGATCTCGAGCATATCTCTGTCGCTGCAACTTTTCACGCTGGCGCTGGTCCTGGATTTCGTGATGTTGACGACGGCGAATGTTCTGGTAGTGGTTGAAGATGACGGAACAGATTGTCTTTTTGGCGCGATCCTGGCCGACTACGTAATCGTCTACGCGCCGCTTCAGGTCGCGCGGGTAGAATTGGGGGACGCCAAAGCTAGCCTTGTTGGAGAATATTGGGCCCCGGCCATTCTCCTGGTTCGGATCATAGCTTGAGGTAAAGCCCTGATTGTTGTAGGACTGGGAGCGACGGGGAGAGAGGGCTAAGCGGGTCGAATAGGATATGTATCGCAGCCGGGCGAGATGCTGCGATGCGGGAGTTCTTGCGGTGAACATAATGGAGACAGCGACGGACGAGGCACGGCGAACGGCCCTTGGTAGGACCAACATTATTAGACCGGAACGGCAGGCATGCCCAGGTTCGTCACGGCCGAGGGCAGATTGATGGAACGGGAGGTGGCAACGGGAGGTGGCAGTTCGGGGATGGTGGCAAAGGGTAGGAGGTCGAGGAGCGGGATCGGAATCGATATCGGAACCGGATTCGGTCAGCGGTAGAGGCACGGTTGCGAAGGAGATGCGACAATAGGAAGTGAACAGGGGGCGCTTTCAATTACAACAGATCAAAATGTCGGTATCATCATCACAGGGTTTGGTGATGATGTTTGCGATCCAATAAGGACAGCGAATAGAGACGAAAGAGCAGTCGCGACGCCAATCACGTCCAAGCCAAGGGAGAGCTCTCTGAGCTGACGCTCACCTCCAGAAGTGCACGGGGCAGGCAATGAGAGCAGACTGATGATGCACATGCGGAGGTTCGTTGGAGACCTAGGTGATGCGGGGGAGAGACGGGATCCATGCTCGCGGGGGAATGCCATCCCGCGTCCCGGGGGGCGCCCGTCCCTCACCACACCCAGGGCGCCTTTAGCTGCCTGCATTGGCAACCACTGCACAGCTGGGCCGGCAAATGGTCGGAGCCTGGAACTTGGTGCTTGCTGGGCTGACCAGGACCTGCCTTGCAGTGCCAGACTGCTGTCAGGCCGTTGACTGGCAGAAAGAACCCGAATTCGGAAAGGGGAGCAGCTTCCCCTCCTCTCGCCCCTGCCGACCGTCCCTCTGAGCCCCGCCAGTTGCGGAGATTGCCTCCAGTTGCCCCTCGCGGCCCCTCCATGAAGCGAAGAAGGCTCCACCTGAAGAGCTCCAGTTCGCCAGCCTTTGATAAGAGCTTTGGCGCAGAAGCCCAACCATGCTTCTGCCTCTGGTCCAAATGAAATGACATACATGCAAAGGCGTCCAGAAAGCGACCTGACTGCGACCTGACCTGCGCCTAGGAACTAAGACATATACATAATATCGTGCATCTCAACAACAGACTGCATCAGGGGTAAATGGGAAGCTAGAAGGGACGACCTTTTTTCAGTGACTAAAAGCTAACCAGGGAGGTGAAAAAATGAAAAAAAAATAAGTGGCTCTTGGGCAATGAGATTGGGTTAGGTTTTTGTCAGTTGGGTTTTGAACCTGGGCCAGGAGCCCATGATGTAATCGAGCATTGATAGCTTCCCCAAGGGGTATTCATCAACTCCAATAGTCAACAGTTCCTCATGTCCGTATTTGTTGAAGCTCCCCCCTCTTGGCTGTCATCAAGTGGCATAATAAACACTGCTACATACTCTGCACTACCAAACTACCAACAAAAAAAGTGACACCAGAAGCTAGTCTACCCTCGAACGGGACTCGTCCAAAGAGAGAAAAGACCCGAGGTCATCACGTTGATCTAGCACGCAAAGAGGGTTTCTTGCGCTGTCCCCTGCCCGTAATCCAAGCAAAAGCCAAGGTAGGATTTCCATCCTCCAGCAACTTCACTGCATCCATATCTCTGTTTTTTTTGTGCCTTCAAGACAATCTCCCTGATTTCGGGCTACACAACTGTTGGATTCTGCAAGCGCTTCCAAGGGTGATTGTTGGGTTCTCGATATAATAAGCGAGCACAGTCTGTTATTTGCCCTTTCCGACCCAACTCTTACCTGACTACCACCTACTGGCCCTCCTCCCCCTCCCGTCCCCTCCTACATACTACGACATCCCATTAAACTTGAACGTTAAAAGTCGTGTGTATCCATTGGGCCGCTTGCCACTACTAAAAGAAGCTCCGAGAAACGGGCTAACTACTTAGAGTGGTACCTGATATCACCCAATCTTCCAAGCGCTTAAAACCCCATCGCTTCACCTCCACTCTTCTAGATTTGTTTCTGGGCGTGCTTCTGTCCTCTTCTACACACCTAACACCAACCACAGTAGCTGTCAACATGAACGACATCTCAGACAACTCTTCCAACTCGCTGGCCAACGGCGGCACCGTTGCCAACAGCGGCATTCCCAAGGATGGCACCGGTATGTCTCTCCATATGCCCCCAATTTTATCTGCCGATCTGGTGCCAGAAGCTGATACGGAAGATGCGCAGGTGTCTTGAGCATTGACCCCTGGCTCGAGCCGTTCAAGGATACCCTCAAGAGCCGCTATTCCAAGGCCCAATCCTGGATCGATACCATCAACAAGACAGAGGGCGGTTTGGAGAAGTTCAGCAGGGTCAGTCATGAGCCGCCTTGTGGAAGCTACCACAGCCGCTGACACACGTACGACTGCAGGGTACCGAGATCTTCGGTTTCAACGTCGACAAGGACAACACCATCACATACAGAGAATGGGCTCCCAACGCCAAACAAGCCTCCCTCATTGGTGAATTCAGTACGTATCATGACACGAGACCAAGATACTGCGAACTGGGGAGCTATTCTAACACTCATCAGACAACTGGGATAGGAACGCTCACCGCATGAAGAAGAACGAGTTCGGCGTTTTTGAGATCACAATTCCTCCCACGGCCAACGGGCAACCAGCTATTCCCCACAACTCCAAGATCAAGGTATGTAAAT